AGGTTGCCATGGTGACAAGCCAGAGGAGGTGGGCGGAGCTTAAGTAGAAAAGGTTTGAAAGCGACAGTTTATAGTCAGTCAGGCGGATGAGACCCTGAGGAGAGTAGCAGAGTCAAGGGGGCTCTGTGGAGTAGTGTAAATTCAGTTAGTTCTTAGGTTTTGTGAATATTACTTCAGCTAGGAAGCTGAAGGTGGAAACTCGTTAGATTGCTTGAGTAGAAAAGAATCTAACAAGAAAGGGTTTCAGGGATCCCAGTGGTGAAAGTCTGGAGATCGTTGGTTTGATCCGGTGAAGGACAAACAGTTGTAAATATTCACATTAGGGAACACTGAAATAATAAAGTACCTCACTGTAGGAGGAGTTAAAGGATTGTAACATCGGAAGACTTAATGTAACTCAACCAAGCCATTTTGTATCCATCAAGCTTGTGCCAAGTTCAACAGTTTAATTTTGCAACAATTTACGCTCTGATAACAATAAACCTGTTCTTTTTGTGTTTTAAACTTGCCTCCTTCACTGATTTCCACGTTTGGAGCATTCCACACTACCAAAGGTGCCTCACAACACAGATAGGGATAACCAGAGATCATTTTACCAATATCTCTTATATTATGGTGGCAATTTAAGCTAGAAGTCTCAAATCTTTATTACATCTGTGTGGTGATCCTATTTATTTGGGATTTTACACCATTATTTCATTTTGGAGACTTCCTCACATATTTTGGTGGCAGCAAGTGAACGGTTTTAAATTTTTAGTAACAAGCGGTGGGAGTCACGGCCTCGCACATTTTACAGCTGTTGTTGTATAAGACTCCATTACACTTCGATCCAAAGGCAAAAACCTGTATAGGCTGGAGCAACACCATTGTGGATATTTAAAATTAGAACCTGAACACATAGGCATGTAAAATTGAGTTAATTCTGACCTGAAAGCCTAGCATGGGACCTTTCTGTTTGTATTGCCACAATAGCATGAATAAAGTTCTTAATAGCTATTTCATATAATCTTTTCATTAGTTGAACATAGGTGCTGCAAATGGTTAACATGGATGCTTTAAATGTTTTGCATTTTTTTTGCTGTTTCCCCCTAATGTAGTACTAATTGCATGGATTTAGTAAGTTCTTTGTTTTGCTATGCATGTTCTACTTTTAACTATAGAAAGGAGAGGTAAAAGTGGCCAACTTTAAAAAAAAGGATTAATTTAACAAACCTAATCCATGCTTAAATTGTCATTTATCTAATTTTTTCACCACAGCAGTAGTTGTGGTCCTTTACGGCTCATCTAAATCCTTCAAAGCAGGCATGCATTAAATATGCTAAAACCAATTGATTTCCTTTTTGTTTGCCAAAAAGTGGAAAGATAATTTACCTTTTAATGCTTTCTACCTTATTTTTTCCATTAATATTAAGAAGCATTGCTAACAACAAGGCAGCAAGAGACGATGGGATCCCAGCTGAACTGTTTAAAATCTTGAAAGATGATGCTGTCAAGGTGATGCATGCCATATGCCAGCAAATATGGAAAACACAAGAATGGCCATCAGACTGGAAAAAATCAACTTATATCCCCATCCCAAAAAAGGGAAATGCTAAAGATTGCTCAAATTTTCATACAGTGGCCCTTATTTCTCATGCCAGTAAGGTAATGCTCAAGATCCTGCAAGGAAGACTCCAGCAATACATGGAGAGAGAGTTGCCAGATGTACAGGCTAGATTTAGAAAAGGCAGAGGAACGAGAGATCAAATTGTCAATATCTGCTGGATAATGGAGAAATGCAGGGAGTTTCAGAAAAACACCTATTTCTGTTTTATTGACTATTCTAAAGCCTTTGACTGTGTGGATCATAATAAATTGTGACAAGTTCTTGGTGGTATGGGCATACCAAATCACCTTATCTCTCTCCTGGGGAATCTGTATAAGGACCAAGTAGCAACAGTAAGAACTGACCATGGAGCAACAGACTGGTTCAAGATTGGGAAAGGTGTATGGCAGGGTTGTATACTCTCACCCAACCTATTCAACTTCTATGCAGAACACATCATGCAATGTGCAGGGCTTGACGAATGCAAGGCTGGGGTAAAAATTGCTGGAAGAAAC